AAAAAAAAAAAAACAAAAAAAAAAACAAACTGAAATCCTAGGCATCTCGGGTCCCAAGCATTACAGATAAGGGATACTTAACCTGTATATGCTCCTTGAAGGGAGGAATCAGGCTTCAATAAAGGGTTAACTTTCCAGGATCACTATATTTACCCCTGTATCTCCCACAATACTGCGCACACAGCAGGGGCTCAAGCAATAACTCTGCCTACATGGCAGTTTTCTGGTGGGTAGAAACTAGTTTGTAGAAACAAAGGAATCCACACGCGTGGACCAGTAGTGTCTGGGGTTCTCAGCAGGAACCATCAAATTCTGCAGCAAGCACATTTCCCTGGCCTACTACCACCACTCCAGCCTTAAAGGCAGGCACCTGGGTTTTTCCTAGGTCTGAAGGGACACCTCTGTCCAGCAACGGTTACTGGTTGAGTTGGCACAGGAATGGGGTTGGGTGCTATAACCACTCACAGCCTAATTCCCATTCCCCAGACGATTTTTCTAGGAGTGAAAGACCAGCCACTAACCATAGGCCATCCTTGCCCCCAGATCTGTCTCTGGGCCGAGTGCCCTTTCCATAACACTTTTGCCACTGCATAGGGAACAGATCTCATTTCGGTGTCTTGCAGACTGAAAAGCCCTAAGATCCCTAGTGGTGATTCTCCAAAAACAGACCTTAAATATTATAACTTTGGAGGCAGATGAAAGGCTGTCAGGATAAAAATAGACGGGGATGAGTGGGTGAGAGATCAGCCACCTTCCTTTTTTCCAAAATTCAACCCACCGCATCAGGCGGCACCTGTTCCCCTCGAGAAAGCCCTGTTCGGGAGCCGAGGTGGGCTCGGCCAGGTCTGGGATGCGCAGAGATGGAGAAAGCTGTAGGGTCCAGCACACACATCCTGTGCTTACCACGATCACCACTTTGGGAGTGGGGCCCTTAACCTCCCGCTGTACGGTGCCAAACCGCTGGCTGTACATTTTCGAGTCCCCTTCAGGATGGGGACGGCGTCCGCCGCTTTTCCCCCAACCGTAGCGACCTGCGAGACCTGCTTCCGGGACGCAGAAGTCTGGTTGCCATGGTGCCTCTCGCGGGGTGAGGGGGCAGGTAGAGGTGGGCGGGTCGGGCGGAAGTCGATCTGGTCACCATGGGGGCCGTAGACACCGGCACTCACGACTTCCTCTTCCAGCCTAGGAGCTGAGCCTGCGCAGTCCTCACCCCGCCCCTCGGCCAAACCCCGCCGACCTTGCTCCCTTCCTTTAGCGTTCATCAGAATGGCAGAAAAAACCTCTAGCCCAAGAGAAATCGAACCTCTAATTACGATTCCAGCTGACTTTGCTATTTATATCCTGTAATGGTCTAAAAGTATGAGAAAGGTTAGCGAACATTTTTGGGGAAGCTTAAATTTTGCACCATCTCTAGGTTAATCTTGATGACTGTAATAATCGCAGGAAAGGCTGGGCGCGATGGCTCACGCCTGTAATCCCAGCACTTCTGGAGACCAAGGCGGGCAGATCACGAGGTAAAAGATCGAGACCATCCTGGCTAACATGGTAAAACCCCATCTCTGCTAAAACTACAAAACTTACTGGGTGTGGTGGCGCGCGCCTGTAATCCTAACTACTCGGGAGGCTGAGGCAGAGGTAGCAGTGAGCCGAGATTGCGCCACTTAACTCCAACCTGGTGACAGAGCGAGACTCCGTTTCAAAGTCATTATCATTGCAGGAAAACTTTACATTTGTGTAGTTCTTTACAATTTCCAACATATTTTCACACAACCTTTAAACCTCACAGATTTTGAGACAAGGTCTCGCTCTGTCGCCCAGGCTGGAGTGCAGTGGCGTAATCATGGCTCCCTGCAGCCTCGTCCTCCTGGGCCTCAGCCTCCAGGGTAATTGGGACTACAAGGCTCGCGCCACCACGCGCTTTTAATTTAAAAACAAATTTTGTAGCGATAGGGGGTCCCGCTATGTTGCTCAGGCTGGAACTCCTGTTCCTGGGTTCAAGCGATCCTCGCCCCGCCCCCTCAACCCCTGCCCCCCGCCCCTCCCGCTGGCCTCCCCAAGTGTTGGGATTGCAGGCTGCGCCACCGCACCTGATTGAAAATATAAGGCTGGGAGCATAGCAAGTATTACTATCCTTATTTTCCAGCTAAGGCACCGCTCAGGGAGCCTAAGTGCCTTGTCAAACCAAATAATCAATAATTTAAAAAACACACACACACACAAAAACTAGTAGTTAATAAAATCTTCCTACCTGCCCTGGGCAGATACCAGGGTTTAGACTTAGAATATTCTAGGATGAGGGCAGATCAAATGGACTAGTGGGGCAGTGGTACGGCCTGGTGGAGCATAATTGTTGAGAGTCTGAGGATCACAGTGGACCTGGTTCCGGAGAATCAGGATCCAGGCAGAACAAGAAACACACATCAGGGAACCAGGACGAACCTGGAGCACAGCTGGTAACCACAGTCAAAAGCAAGGTGGTAATACCTAAAATCCAATTAATAATGACACTCTGGTACTCCCATTCTAAAGTGTAGGTGAGCATAGAACACTAGCGCACACACAACAAATCAGTACCTACGTCAGACTGTCGTATAACCATCAAAGTACAACTAATGTGTATACCCTCTTAAGGACGTAATTTACTGTAAATTAGTATTCCTTAATCATCTGTAAACCACCCACTTCGGATTTTGTATGTGGTACGTTTCTAAATACGAATTCCATTTCCTGAATTGCTGGTTCAGCTTTTCAGCCACAAAATAATGTCTTTCTTCTCTTTTAATAATTCTGTCATTTTGTGTGTTCTTTTCTTTCTATAATGCTTCTTCTTTCAATTGCAGTTCAGTAAAATACTCATTTGCATTTACTAAGAGTTTACGTGGCCTGAAACAAAAAAGAAACAAATTAGGTGGTCGTCTTGGTTTCCTGGAGGGTCCAGAGGGGCGGTTCCTTGATCTTCGAGTCCAACCGGCAGGCTCGTCGGTCTGGGCGGAACCACCCCCACCACACATCCTCCGGGAAGGTGCCAATGAAAACACCTTGGACCCGGAGCAAGGTTTGGGAAAATCAGCTGAGATTCGGGGCCGCCCAGTGGGCACTTCCAAGGTTGTGCAGCCCAGAGGGCCCCATCGGAATTTCTCTGAGGCGTTGGAGTAAACTGACCCTTGGCAACACCTGGCTTCCCTCCAACGTCCTAGGTCGTCGAGCCCCGCCCTCACCCTGGGAGAGCTCCGTAATTTAACACCGGTTCAGTTTTGCCAGTTTTACCACTATTTGAAGAGGGGGACTCGGCTTCCCTCTGGGTCTAGCCCAGATACAGGGTTTGCGCCGGGCAGAAACCACGCCCCAGCTAGCCAGGCCAGGGGTGATGGGTGACAGGCGGTACCTCCAGGGCCCCAGTGGGTGACCGCAGCCGGGAACTACAGGCTTTCTCGCCCCAGCGCCCCCTGGCGGGCTCACCAGCAGGTCGAAGGGGGCCGGACGGTGCCGAGCACCCAGAGCCTCAGCCTTCAGCCAATCCCCATCCCCCACGGCCTAGGGACGTGAATCGCCCAGGGTCCTTGGACAGAAGTGACCTTGATCTTGCCACCCACTATCCCAGTTTCTCAGAGGCATTCAACAGTTACCACCAAACCATTCCCAAAAGAAACACTAAGCATGTAAGTGGGACAAAAAAATTATTTAAAAATAGTTTTTAAATAGAACAGCTTAGAGATAGAAACTAAATTATTTCCAATTCCTACTGTGCCCCAAACAAGGTTCACAAAAGGGCTGTCCTCCCAGAATTTCCTGAATACTATACTTTCAGCATTAAATTCCATGATAAAGTTGGAAATTCATTCACCATTTGTAATATATTGATTCATTTAATAAAACTGCATGGGCCATGTCTTTTGCATTTCTGTATCCCAGTATTAAGTACAGTGCCTACCACAGGCCAGGTTCTCAATACTTGAATAAACAACACAAAAATAGCCAGGACCAGCAAGTTTTGGGTGGGCTTCATAGAATCTCTGCACTTGCTGGAATCACCATGAAATCCATGGTCTTCAGTTTTGCATATTCAGCAACATAGTTTTATTGAGTTATCCTCAGGTGAGCAGTGAGGCCCTTGGGGGCTGATTCATGGTAGGGTGGCTTTGTAATGTGTCACCTTGGCTAGGCTATTTTTTCCAGAGCTCTCTTCCAGTAAGATGGGCCACAAGAGACATTCTGCCTGGTAACTGAAGGGCAGAAGTGAAGCAGCAGCATATTGTTTTTACACTTGGAAGGTTGGTGCTGTGTCACCAAGTGCTGTTGCAGTTCACACTTGCTGTCATGTATCTGCTGGCTCACCTCGGTGTGGGCAGCAGTCAGGCCTTTAGCCAGGCCTGCAGCTGCTCCACCTTCCCCAGGATCATCCTTGAGCTTCTCTAATTCCTCGGCCAGATGCATATTTAACTCTGTGAGGAAGGACACCAGCTTCTTCTGCAGGACACCCACGTCATCGAAGCTGGAGGTGGTGAGAGACTGACATGGTTTCTAGGCCATCCTCGTCGGTTCCAGCTCGTGCTTGTTGGCTCCACTGTGTCCTCGGTCTCCCACATTTTACATCCATCTTCCCTTCCCGAGTGCCTGCCCTGCAGACTTCAAGCTCCAGCATTAGATGCAAGGACAACAGCCTTAGAGACTGTTTAACAAGCTCCCACAATGGCATGCAGTCAGAGCCTTATAATAAATCCCTTAAAATACATATATACATAATCTTTATCTTAGTGGTTCTGCTCTTCTGATTGTACTCTAATACATACGGTAGGCAGAAGCTTAACTCATGAATCTAAACGCCAGTCAAAATAAATTTCATATAGACCATTGTCAAAATTACCAGAATACTGGGGTTGGTTGGTTGTTTCCTGGGGAAACAAAGCAGTGTCAGTCTATCCAGCCTTGACTAAGGCTGAACTAGTTAGGATGGAATAAAGGAAGGGGGAAGGGAAGGTGGCAGAGGTTGGATTGTATGAGTTAGAACTGGGAAATGGCTAATCCACGTCTGAATTACCTAAAGCTGCAAGGCTGGGACTACGGTAAGGCAAGGGAGGCACATAAGATATAAAGTGTAAGGAGGCACTCACTCAGTCCTGGCCATGTAAAGCTGGCTAATGAATTACAGGTCAAATCTTTTTGGCACTTTATAAATGCAGAATTGGAAAGAATGAGGTAGGGCTGAGCCAAGACTGGCCCTTGGGCAGGACTCAAAGCTGGGATTCAGCCTCCTAGAAGACATTCAGGCTGAGGGCAGGAGCCAAGCACAAAGGTCATCAGAGAGCAGGAGATGCACGTTGTCAGCAAAGATGAACCAGGCTGGCAGCTTTAGTTATAAAGACTGCTCTGGCTGAAGAGGGGGAGTCAGGGTAACAAGCAAAATGGAGAGCAGCCAGTGGGGAGATATACCCTATAGGGTTTGAGGAATCCTCTGCAGCACCTGGGGCCTGCAGGAAACCCAGTTTCTGTATGAACAGATGCTCTGACAAGGTGACTCCAGCTACATCAAGCCGTGGCACTCCCTAAACCATGCTAGAGGCAGGAATGTAAGGGATTTATTACAGTACTTATAGTAATCTGCTGTGTTTTCAAGGTCACTGAAAACTCCTGTTAGTGCATACAGGATTATAGGTTACAATTTAGTGGCTTAAAGAACAAGGGCTTTACAAGCTGGGTTTGATTCTAGGCTCTACTAACACCAGCTGTTTGACATTGGACAAATTAATGAGTCTCAGTTTTCCCATCCACAAAAATGGGCGAAATCAATGTCTTCCCAAAAAGACTGTTTAGAGGATTAAATAAATTGGGTCCATAGGAGGAACACACCAAATAGTGGTTCCTTTCATTTATTCAATTACATTTTCAATTGCTGTCTCCCTGAGGAAGTGTGCAGACACACAGCCAGGTCTCATGTTTAGGTTGTTTTGTGGTGGGTTTACTTATATTACCTTTCCCCAGCCCAGCTCCCCCACCGTTAAAATCCAACTTCTTATCATACTCAGGCTCTTGGGGAGGAGAAGATGCACCAACATTCTACTCTTTCTCTTCCTTTCCCGCTTACTTCTAGCAGCTCAAAGTACTGTTAGGCCTGCTCCTCTGTTTGATGGTAGATTTTTCCTTCTAGGGTTGATTCACACACAAGCCCTGGCAACCAATCTAGGGTCCAGCCCCTAGTAGATCAGTGTTGTCTCTCATAAAGCCAGTCTGCAAATATCACCTTGAATCCTACAGTCTGTAGAAGCCTCCAGTCTACTGCTTTCTAGCTCCAGGTTTTTTAAGGTCTTTGGACCTAGAGAAGAGGGAGCAGGTCTGTATGTTGAATGAGGTTTGCTATGTGCGAAATGGAGCATTACAAAACCATTTCCTACTATTCTGTGTCCTCCATCCAGTTCCCCTTTATTGTTTTTGTATCTTCTAAAAACCTGAAGGTAGGTATCCTGTGTCTCCAGAAGGGTAAGTTTTGCAGGGCTCATTGTCCTCAATGCTGTGCACCCAGAAGGAACTCAATCAGTACTTCTGAAATTGGCCAAGTATAT